GATATGATTTGGCTAAAGTAGCCAGTGTGGGGAATCTTGTAGCATTATTCTTCCACCATGTAAGGGGGTCATTATCCCTTGGAATAGGTGCTTCCCCAAAGTACAACAGTACTTCGTTCCTCACTGTCTCATTTTCTCCGTCCCCACCCTGGTCAATGTTTTCATTAAAATCTTCCTCCTCAGAATCTGTACCCAACAAAGTGTCCAACACAGACCTCTTCTTTGTTGGGGGACTTGCTGAGGCTTCCTGCCCCACAGTTGCCTGCTGAAGCTGTGATCTCTGCTCCCTTTTGAGGTCAAGTGCATCCTTCTGTACTCTTACTTGCAGTTTCAGAGCGTCCTCTGGAGAAAGAAATTTCAGTTTACGAAAACGTGGATCGAGGGCAGCAGCAATGAGTGACACATTTTTCCCATCTTCTTGAAATGCAGATACCTCTGGCTGCCACCTTGACATGATTTCCTCTTCTGCACTGTTCTGGAAAATGTTCACTGCAGCAGAATCGAAGGATTTGTTTTGAGTGGATTTCAGAAGACCCTTCAGCAGTGGGGGGAGAACAGAGGCTGTGACATAAGATTGTCCACTAAGAACATTAGTGGCTTGCTCATAAGGCTTGAGTACCTCCTTCAACTCACCCAGAAGAATCCACTGATCATTTTTCAGATCCAGGTACTGTTTCCCACGCTGTGTGACTTCTGGATCTGAAAGCGTCGCAACTACTGGCCATCTCTGTTCCAACAAACGTTCAATCATGTAGTATGAGCTGTTCCACCTGACAGCTGCATCCTGGATTAGTTTATGCTCAGCTGTACCCATCTGTTTTTGCTTCTCCTTAAGCTTGATGCTAGCTGGCTCACTTTTCTTGATGTGCTTTACGAGGCCCCGTGCAGCTGATAGTGCCTTATCAATCTTGGGGTCTTTCAGTGCATGGTTTACAACCAGTTGCAGTGTATTCCTAGCACACCGATAGGATACCACTCCAAACTTCTCTTCCAGGATGTGGAGAGCTGCAACCATGTTACTTGCATTATCATGCACAATGGCAAGGACATTATGCAAGGAAATGTGGAATTTTTCTGCCACCTTCTCCACCCAGGAGGCAAAGTATTCTGCAGTGTGGTGCTCTTCAACTGGGAGTGTTGTTAAATTGAAGGAGAGAAGATCCCAGTTGTCATTGATGAAATGACAAGTTACTCCTAAATAGGACTCTGTGACTAGACTTGTCCAAGCATCAGTGGTAAAAGAAATTTTGGATGAGGCCTTTTTTAGTTCGCTCCTTAGTTTCTCAACTGAAGTTTGATATTTTCTCTCCATCTTGCTTGTAAAATGGCGCCTAGAAGGCAGAGTGTAACCTGGTTGAAAAGTGGTCAGCATTTCTTTGAATCCTTCACCCTCAACCACAGCAAGTGGCCTCATGTCTTTCAGAATCATAGCTAGGACGCTCTCAGTAAGTACAGCCACCTCCTGAGGGGTGCAGGGTGTTCTTCTCTGACAGTAGTCCTCCAGACTTTTCTGTTTGTTCCTGAAAAAATAAATCACACATACAACACAGATAAATTAAAATTATTACAAAAATATTTATGTAGAAAGCATAATATCAAAATAATAATTTGAAGATCTGTTTTTCAGTGTTTTTTCAAAATATTTAATCTACAAGATTTGTTAAAAAAGAGGTTTTAACACAAAATGCTGCACATTTTTGTAGTCATTAGATGGTGCAACTTAGATCTATAAGATCAACAAGCTGGAGGAGCATGATGTATAAAAATAACGTTCAAACAGGACGAGGCATTAAACTTGACAATCAAGAGTCCGTTGTCATTTTGCTTTTGCAAGCACTTCAACAATATTGTAATAATGTCCACGACGGCTACATTTAGCAGGTGCTACGTTGTCTTTGTTAACATTTTTACTGCGGACAATTAGCGCTCTCCCACATTTTCAGCTCTCGCCGATTCTCATAATCAGCACGTGTGCATTCCGACTCATTTGGCCATCATGAGCCACAAATCAATACCAACAAACAGATAACAGCTGCTGCTATATGTTACTGCTAAGCAGCGTGGCAGCAGTGGGTCTGCTTGTGTGTGTGAGTTAGTGCATGGCTACGTGGGGTGTTTGGATGTTATAAAACAGCGTTGCCACTACTCGCTGCTGCCATGTTTGTTTTTGAACGTGATGACGCATCGACGCAAATTATATGCGTCGACGTATTTTACGTGTCGACGTAATCGATTACGTCGACGCGTCGTCCCAGCCCTATTCAAGATCCTTGTTTTAATCGATGTTTAATATTAAACTCGTTATTTGAATCAGAATCAGAATAAGCTTTATTGCCAGCGCTCCAGCGATCCAGAGCATAGGAACTTGACTCCGCAAACACAACCTGACCAAGGTTAAACAGGTACAGGCAGGCCACGAGAGCAGCCAGAACGGCACTCATTTCATTAGATGAAAAGGGTGTTACATGAGAATAATTGGGGTAAGGTAAAAAAGGCATAACAGAGTCAGTCCCAGCAGGGAGTAGCTCTACTATACAAAAAACTCCTCAACATAAAAGCACGAACATCACAGTTACAAAACATCAGACTCCGATAGGGAGGCGTGGGGGGGGGGGGGGGGGATCCTGAATCCTCCAACGGGAGCTGCCAGTGTACAGTGGTCACAGCTGCAGTCAAACAGGTGGGAGGGAGAGACGAGGACCAGAGAGCACATTGAGTTCCTGCCGGTTAATGACCTCGAAGCAGAAGTCACCTTCTGAAGGCAGGGGGGGAAGGTCGGGTCACAGCATCTGTCTACATTCCTCCTTTCGTGGGGGTGATATTGAGGCAGATTTGGAGGCTGCATTGGCGTCAGATAAGGATAAACAAGACTTTGTTTAGGGCAGACAGAGATAATTTCCTCTCTGCCTTGGAGTCTATTAAGTAACCATTCACGTCCACCAGTGAAGCCAATTATACGTTCTAAACATCCCCACACCGTCCGGCGACCCTCTCCGAGATGACATCCATCTTGCGCACTAACACAGGCAACGCTGCGAGGACATTGTCCAGCTTACGGTTCACCTCGAGTAACGTCCCAGTCTGTGAGGTCTCCGCACGGGCGGCACAATCCGTGGGTACGGGTCGCACTCCAATCGCTCCCGTCTTCCCAGATTTCCAGAAAACCAGATATCCTCCCACTCCAATCAGAAGAAATCCAGTGATCATCAGGCCGAATATCCACAAATCTTCCACGTCCTCGATGGACAACTGAGAGAGACACACGATTCGCCAGACCTCCCAAGAATCGAGTGCCTATCCCGCTGCGTATGTCCCTTCGGGACAGGTGGGAGCCCCCTTCTCCGTTCTCATCGTAGAAAAAATCTTATCAATCGCGTTGAATGACCAGTTAATTAAGTCCATTTCCAAAAAGAAGTAGTGATTTTCAGGAGAAATGCAGAGTGCTCTGTAGGCAGACAGGACAAGAGCCTTGGGAGAAGCAGATAAGGGAGCTGAAGCAAAAGCGTCTGTACTCTCTGAGAGCCGGAAGAAGAAAATGGGGTAAGGTAAAAAAGGCATAACAGAGTTAGTCCCAGCAGGGAGTACCTCCCACCTGTTTGACTTCAGCTGTGAGTTATTCACCCTTCCAATAATTCATTATGAAATTATTATCTATTAGTTATTTAGATATCTATTAATTAGTATTTTTAATTTCCTTAATTTATATTTTATCTAAATTGAGGATGGATCATATTAGTAAGCCAATTAGTTAATACCTCATTAAGGTTCTAGCTTCTGGGTTACATCTACTTTTGGTTAAATTGTGTTAACTTCGACAGATCAAAAGTAGGGTAAAGATAATTATGTAGCCTGGCTTTAGTTAGGCCCTTACACAAATAGATTTTAAATCAAGCTTTTACTCTTGGAAAAATTAAAGAAAAACTAAAAATCAAGAACTTCTTTCCTGCCTGCGATGGTTTACTATTTGTGTGTTGGGAATGGGAACCTAAATCTCCTCACCTTCCAGTGGCTCAGGGGTCTTCTGAACAACAAAATAAGTGAATAGATAAATAAATAAATGTAAGTGAATGGGGCTGTAGAAGTTATTTTCCTATGCCTTGCCAGGTGTGCCCAACTCTTGTCCCAGAGATGCCCTGTCCCCAGCATCTTTTAAATGTTTCCCTTCTGATTCAGTGGCTAAATCATCTGTTCAGCAGCTCATCAAGCTCTGCTGAAGCCTGCTAAGCACAACTAATTCAAATCAGGTGTGTTGAAACAGGGAAACATTTAAAACATGCTGAATAGGGGTCTCCCTGAATTACACGTATGCTGTACTTCAGTTTGATTAAAAAATATTTATGCCTTTCCACTGTCGCGTAATTTGATGCTTGTTAAAATTCGTAAATAAAGACTACAAATCACAAGTCACATGTATCTCCCCCAGCTAAGCTACCACTTATGACATGCCCAGCTTCATAGTGGTTTTCTCCACATTTAATTCTTCTTCTTTCGTCCTGGAAAATGGATGTGAAGCTCATTAAACTCACAGCCGTTTTTCTTCTTTGTGCCTGGTTTGATTACATCAATGTGGTGCAACAAGCAGTTGGAGTTCTCCACTTTTTTTTTTCACACAAAACATAAAATAACTTTTTCCACCAGTCAAAAATAAGAGCGTTCTTGGCATTAAAATGTGTCTTTAAAATTCAAGGATATCATATGTGAAATCCATGGAACATATCAAACGGGGTCAGAAAATAACTTATTGGCCATTAGGCTTTCATTCTTTTATTTTTATTTTATTTTTTTTTTATAATGTCTAAAGAAAGTGGCTTATTTTTCAGAACTAATGAGTGACTTCTCCATACTGTCTGCAGTAATATTTCATCATATATGGGCTTAGCATTGTTCTGAAAGGTTTAAAATAGCATGATATAAATCATTTCAAGCTACAGCTGTTATATGTGGGAACATAGTTACAGTGGTCTGTCATTCACTTCATTTGTTACTGTGTTTTCTACAAGATGTTACACAGGTGGTGGTGGTGGTGGTTAAAGAAGAAGCTCCTGAAGGACTGAGTGCTGATGTGGACCAGCAGGACCCAGAACACCATATAAAGGAGGAAGAGGAGGAACACTGGACCAGTCTTGATAGAGATCAGTTCCATTTGAAGGAGGAGATGGATGCCTCCAGGTTCCCATTCACTGCAGTTTCTATAAAGAGTGAGAATAATGAAGAGAAACCTGTGTTCTTACAGCTTCATCAGCAGCAAATAGAAGACAGAGATGTTCCAACCAGCAGCTTAGCTGACCAGATGACAACAGAGACGGGTGGAATAGCAGAAAGTAGCAGGAACCCAGATCTAAGTCGTTATGAACACACATCTGATTCTTCAGAGACTGAAGTTAGTGGAGAGGATGAGGATGTGAATCTAGAGCCTGAACTGTCAGAATCTGAGTCTAAAACTGGAGACAGAGACAATGACTGGAATAAGAGTAGATCTTTTGAGTCAGATGTTGAGACTGAGCAGACAGAGCAAAAACCATTTAGTTGTGATGTCTGTAGGAAAAGATTTGATAAAAATCTAATTTAAAAACACACACTAGACTTCACACAGGACAGAAACTTTTTGTTTGTGAGCACTGTGGACAAAGATTTAGCCAAAAGGCAAATTTAAACACTCACATGAGTGTCCACACAGGACAGAAGCCTTTTGCGTGTGAGTTCTGTGGACAGAGATTTAGCCGAAAGGCCCATTTAAACACTCACATGAGTGTCCACACAGGTCATAAACCTTTTGCTTGTGAGTTCTGTGGACAAAGGTTTAGCGATAAGACAACTTCAAAGAGGCATGTGAGAGTCCATACGGGACAGAGGCCTTTTGCTTGTGAACTCTGTGGACAAAGATTTAGCATTAATTCAACTTTACACCGTCACATGAGAGTTCACACAGGACAGAAGCCTTTTCCCTGTGAGCTGTGTGGACAAGGATTTAGCCAAAAGACACATTTAAACAGACACATGACAGTCCACACAGGACATAAACCTTTTGCTTGTGAGCTCTGTGGACAAAGATTTCGCCAGAAGACAACTTTAAACAATCACTTGAGAGTCCACACAGGACAGAAACCTTTTGCCTGTGAGATCTGTGGACAAAGATTTAGCCAGAAGACAACTTTTAATAGTCACATGAGGGTCCACACAGGACAGAAACCTTTTTCCTGTGAGCTCTGTGGACAACAATTTAGCCGAAAGACATATTTAAATAGGCACATGAGAGTCCACACAGGACACAAAGAACCAATTTAAAGACCAAGTTCACTTGGGTTTTCCATTGCATTTACAGTGGTTTCCAGTATAAATGAATGCCTTGTGAGTCGATCTCTGTGGAAAAAAATCTCACGCTCATGTTTCAGGACGTAAAACTTAACCGGAGGTGAGGGGAGCAGAAAATGGCAGGATTTGGAGTCCTGCTATCTGTCCTCAGATTTGCTAGCAGCAGTGCAACTCTACCCTGCAAGACATGAGCCCATGAATGAAAATTTACATTGTGATGTTAATCTGTGCGGCTTCTTCAAACCCAAGCGTTTACCCCTTTATTTTCTATTGACGCCTAATGGGCTCGACACACGGGAGGCAGCATCACCTGGGCTGCACATGGGCTGCATGGTGGCGCAGCTGTTAGCACTGTTGCCTTGCAGCAAGAAGGTTGCAGGTTTGAATCTCGGCTGCATCTTTTCTGCGTGGAGTTGCAACTTCCCTCCATGCATACATGGGTTTCCTCCGGGTACACCGATTTTCCCCACAGATCACAACATGCCCTATAGATCAACAACTGTAAGTGTCTTTGGCTAAAAGTGTCTGCCAAATAAATAAACATCACCTCTCCTCCATTAATTTTTAATGAGCCATGAGCGACTAAGTGATAATCGTGGGTCTCTCTCCTGCTAAGCAACACGTGAATGTACATGTAAAATTTTGCGCTCGTGCACAGGAAAGCCAGCGACGCAGTCCCAGAAAGTTGAGAAAATTTAAAATTTTCGTCTCTGTCGCTCGGACAAGGAACAATCAGCGGAGGTTTCATTGACTGTCAAATGAGCAGACAGGATGTTTCTCAGTACATCTCCAAGCTAACATGAAGGAAAAGTTAATAATTGCCGTGTCGGGTTTCCCAGAGCTTTACAACATTTCTGCTGAAATGCCAAAACTCCAGATTTATGCTGCCTGTTAAAAAAACACAAGCTTCTCACAAAGATTGTCGGGTACAGATTAGTGTAAAGCCTAATTTATACATTTCCCTTCTGCATTGGGACGGGCACACGCATGACCCAGCTGTTGAGTCATCCCAGATCAGAGCTGCTTAAAGTATCACCTCAGCCAGATGTTTGTGCCTCCAACACATGAAGCTCTCTGTTTGCTCGTTGTGTTCACAACAAAGTGTCTTTGTGTTATTCTATTCATCTGTTTCATCTTAGTTTGTGTTTCATTTCTACTTGGAGAGGGTGCCACTGTGTCACCTGTGCTCAGATTAAAGCCTATAATTTTACAATTTAGACAAATGAGTTGATTTTAATTTTGCCCTTGCATGAGAAACCAAAAACCCTTTTAAAACACACCGTTAGACTGTCTCTTTTTACCGTTTATGCTGCCGCTGTGATCCAATTTCAATTAGCATAATGTTTCTTTTTGCTGCTCAGCAGATGATCGAGACATTTATCTGCCTTTTAAACATAGGAGAAACACTTCAACTTAAAACAAGTTCATTGCCATTTTTTAGATTTGAATATGAACTGAAGTGCAGGAAACAGAAAACTGTGCAACGATAAAACGTTTAAAAAGTTTATTAGTCCAAAGTTCCAGGTGTCCAAATGTCCAGGGTTCTAAATGTCTAGGAGGTGTTCAGGTGTCCAGTGTTCTGGTTGTTCAATGTCCAAGGTGGCCAGCAACCAAAATGTTTAGATGTCCAAGTGTCCAGGGGTCTGAGGGTCCAGGAGTCCAGTGGTCCAGGGATGTGACTAAAGGGAGGCCAGGGTGAATCCAGAAGAGAGGGACAATGGAGAGGTAGAGGTTCAGACAGGAGTCTGGAATTAAAAAAAACACAAATAACAGATTGAGTTCAATAACAACAAGGAGAAGATGTCCTGAGCCTTCACTCGTGGCAGCTTCTCAGCTCTGCAAGCATGACTGCAGGACCTGCCCATGGTGAGGTGAGGACATCCTGAAAGGGGCAGCAGAAGAAAGAAACTCCCCCTGGGATTCTGTCTGGTCCAGTTGCTTTAGACGGCTCGGTCCTGCAGAGGCAGCGGTTACAGCAGCAGAATGGACGTCCAACTTCTGCATGGAGCTGACTGACGGTCAGGTAAAGTTTGCTGCTCTGTCGTCTTTGAGCAACAAAAACAAAACAACACAAGAGAAGGCAAGGGGGTCATGGGGTCAGAGGTTAATAAAACACTGAAAAGACAGATTCAACTAGCAGAGAGAACGGTCTGACTGGGAAGGTTTTTGGTTCACATTCAGAAAAATGATGTTTGTAAATAAACATGAGAAACACCTGCTAATGTGTTTAAAAGTCAAGAGACAAGTATTAAAACAAAAGAGATGTCATACTATTCTCCCTATGGAGTCTGTGATACAATCAGTGGTACGGTGCTGGTCTCAGGTCAGGCTGGCCCCCAACAACCCCCCCACCCCAACCCAGGTCTGCGTCAAGGTGGAGATCTGTCTCAGTAGGGAGAAGACGTGTGAACACAGGAAGTGGCTGAAGTGGAGCTGTGCTATCAGGTTCACTCAGATCACTCCCTCTCTCTCTCTGTCTTACACACACAATGTTATAGATAATTTTCTGAACAGCCTCTGTTTAGATAAATGGAGTTTGCATCCTACAGGACAACCTCAGGGCCCTTAGAGACTGTCTCAGACCACTAGCCCGAGTGTGTGTGTGTCTAATAAGAATGGGGGGGCAGTCCTGATGGGGGAATCCTACTACTTGTAGATAGCAGATTCCCATCCCATCATCAGTCTCCTCCCCCAAGGAGGAGGAGGAGGACCAATGAGAAACTACTAGTAATAATGACGTGACTTCTGCCCCTAATGTGCTGTTTTATATTATTTAATTTAAAAAAACTTATATTTTTACTTTCTGGTTTATTATGAGATTTCAGCTGTTTGAAAAACCCAAAATCATGATTATGGGGTGAAAACCCCATAATCATGACATCTGGGAGATGCTGGGTTAAAAACACAGAATCATGATTATGGGGATGAATTAGGGGTGAAAACTTCTAAATCATGACATTTGGGTGTCGTTGGGGTGAAAAACTCAAAATTCTGATATATGGATGACATTAAAAAAATAATAATTAAAAAATAGTAAATCATGATAATGTTCATGCATATGTACAAAAAAGCCTGTTTAGAGGGCCTACCATTTAATTAACCAATTGAGTATGATCATAATTAATTAATATGCAAATATTATGCAAATTGAGAGTGGCACAGTGCCAAATCCCCCCCCCCCCCCCCCCCCCCCCGCGCGCATAACAACAGGCAGCCTGTTAGCTGCAGCAACGCATTCTACAGAGAGAGTGGCTAGAGGCACACTTGGCCCCGCCCCCTTGTGACGTCATAAAGGCCTATCATATCATCTCCTCTCATTACCTTTAGTTTCATTTTAGCTTGACTAGCGATCACAGAGGACCTCTTCTCTCCTCAAGAACGGTCAGGTAAAGAGGCTTTTCAAATACCAGTAAGCATTCAAAGCAACAGCAATACCTTTAAAATGTCTTTGTCAAAATATAACAAGAGAAAAAATCAATCAATCAATTTAGATTCTAACTATCAATCAATGTGTGAAACAGTACATACTTTGATTGGAGATATAGCCGGAAAGGTAAGTGCAGATATTAATGAACTGAATAAAAAAAGAGCTGAATGGAGGGAAGAAGAAGCATTATGTAGGAAGTTAGGAATACCCTACTCATTTGAAGACGAGCAGAATAATTATTTAGAAAACTTTTTTGCCCAGCACCGAGCCCTTCACACGTACGCTGATGATTCAGAGAGTTCTACAAAACCAGAAGATGAATTAGGCGAAACTTCACATAGAAATGTTTGCACAGATGTTACCAAACTCTGCCAGAACATGGAATTAGGTAAACAGGAGGAAAGATCTACAGATTGTGGAAAATCGAAGTCTTTTGAAGACAATTTGGGGAATTGTTTGAAGAGTGATTCTCTCCAACAGACAGCCATTTGTGGAAGTCTAGAGAGTTGCTTCACACCCTTTCCAGTGTCTGACGAACACAATTTCAACGTTTCAGAGTTTGACAGTGACTATTCAGATACTTCTAGCGAAACAGACTGTGAAACCAATTTTACTTCAGCTTCTAGTGCTTCTGATAAAAGCTTTTTACAGGCATGCAAAGATAAGTTTACTGACGTCATGAAACCTGCCATTGCTACTTACAATTTCTTGAAATCACTTAAAGAAGAAAGGAAGACAGATTCTGATCAGTCTGAACAATCAACCCTGGCCATTGAGGAAATTAATGAAACAAGTGACGTTCTTTCTCTGAGGCAAAATATAGGTTTAAAACTTGTAAACATCAAGAGTACATCCTCCAAATTGTCAAACACGTGCTCACCTCAACCAAGAAGAGACTCAAAAGAATCCCCAACAAAATTTAAAAGACCAGATGTAGAAGATTTTAAGCCTGATGAAACCGTACTTGAAGTCTTTAAAGCAGATGCCAGGAGGAATTCTGAACAGACTTGTGATAACAGAGAAGTGTATTCACTGGATGAGGAAACTGGCTTTAATGGGGCAAACAAACAAGTCTCTGAATCCGCCAGTAAAAATATACACATTGAAAGTGAGGGGATTTTTGAAAACTTCAAAAGCAAATGCAAAAATAGTTTCTCTAAGTTAAAGATATCTAGTGTGAAGACATACAGCTTTTTGAAATCTCTTAAAAAAGACAAAACAGCTGTGGAAAATGAAGTTTCTTGTTCTGAGGACAGTCTCACAGCAAGTCGATCAACCCTGTCGACGGAGGACATATTTGAAAAAAGCTGCAATCTTCCTTTGGAGCAACTTAACAATTTTGAAAATGTAAATTTGTCTACCAGATGCTCAACTTCAACAAGGAGTGATACAAGTGAATCACAAACTAAATCCTTAAGATTCGAAAACGATTCAGGACCTAAGCTTCAGTCTGAAATGCAAACCAACGGCATCCCTAAGCAGACCAGTGTGAAACAAGTCTCTGCCAGTAAAAATACACACATTGAAAGTGAGGGGACTTTTGAAAACTTCAAAAGCAAATGCAAAAATAGTCTCTCAAAGTTAAAGATATCTAGTGTGAAGACATACAGCTTTTTGAAATCTCTTAAAAAAGGCAAAACAGCTGTGAAAAATGAAGTTTCTTGTTCTGAGGACAGTCTCACAGCAAGTCGATCAACCCTGTCGACGGAGGACATATTTGAAAAAAGCTGCAATCTTCCTCAGGAGCAACTTAATAAGTTTGAAAATGTAAATTTGTCTACCAGATGCTCAACTTCAACAAGGAGTGATACAACTGAATCACAAACTAAATCCTTAAGATTCGAAAACGATTCAGGACCTAAGCTTCAGTCTGAAATGCAAACCAACGGCATCCCTAAGCAGACCAGTGTGAAACAAGTCTCTGCCAGTAAAAATACACACATTGAAAGTGAGGGGACTTTTGAAAACTTCAAAAGCAAATGCAAAAATAGTCTCTCAAAGTTAAAGATATATAGTGTGAAGACATACAGCTTTTTGAAATCTCTTAAAATAGGCAAAACAGCTGTGGAAAATGAAGTTTCTTGTTCTGAGGACAGTCTCACAGCAAGTCGATCAACCCTGTCGACGGAGGACA